GGACCGTGCCCCCGTTCCCCGGGTAACCGCTCCGGGATCACCGCTCCGGGATCCCCGCGTTCCCGGGATCCCCGCTCCGGGATCCCCGCATTCCCGGGATCCCCGCGCTCTCCACGTGCCCCAGGAGCGCGGAGCGGCTCTGCCGGCAGCGCTCCCCGCGCTCCTTCCTGCCCCGTTACGTGCCCGGAGGAGCCCGCGAGCAGAGCCACGAGAAACCGGCGGCCGTGGGAGGCGGCGGGCAGGGCTCGGGGCTCGGGGCGCTGCCCGTGACCCGGGACCGTCCTGTGCGCCCGTTACCGGGACAGGGCCGGGCTGAGCGCCGCCCCACCGGCCGTGACACCCCGGGGGCCGTGCCCGTCCTGGGAGCTGCACCCATCCCGCGGGCCGTGCCCGTCCCGGGGGCCGCACCCACCCCGGGGGCCGTGCCCGTCCCGCGGGCCGCCTCCATGTCCCGTTACCTGCGCGGCCGCCGCCGGCGGGCCCGGCCCTGCCGCGCGGGGCTCCATGGCCGCCGCCAAGGCCGCGCCCCCGCGCGCCCCGCGCCCAATCGGCGGCCGCTGCCCGCTCGCGCTGGCCAATCAGCGGCCGCCCCGCGCGCACGGCCTGCGCGCCTTAAAAGGGCAGCGCCGGGTGGGCCCCGCCCGGCGCGGGCGGTTCCGGGGCGTCGGCGGCACCGGCGCATGGCGGCGCTTCCGCTGCGGGCGCGGCGGCACCATGAACTACATGCCCGGCACGGCCAGCCTCATCCAGGACATCGACAGTGAGTGCGGCCGGGCCCCCGCCGCTCCAGGGCCGGCCCGTCCCCTCCGTGCCCCGTCGGTGCCGCCCCGCCCCGGGGTCCGGACTCCCGCTCCCCCGGGTCCCACCCTGCGGTTCCCCGTGCGGCGCCCGGACCCCTCTTCCCGTTTCGAGCCGCCCCCCGTGGGCTCCGGCCCCGCGCGGCGCTGCCCCGGGCGGGGCTCCCGGAGCCGCGGGGGCCGAGGCCGACACGCCGCTCTCGTTTCCCGCAGAGAAGCACCTGGTGCTGCTGCGGGACGGCCGGACGCTCATCGGGTTCCTGCGCAGCATCGACCAGTTCGGTACGGCCGGGCAGGAGGAGTTTCCGAGTGTGCTTGTGCTGGGGGTTAAACACCCGCCCCTGCTCGTGTCCCCCTGGAGCTGGTGCTTCACGGAGGTTTCTCCCACGCCTGGGAGCTCCCCTCCCGCGATTGCATCCTGCGCTGGCGCTCCGGCATCGCTCTTGGAGCAGAAGCAGCCGGGTGATGTTCATCCTCTAATCGAGCGCTCGGTCCTTGACCAGAACTTGCAGCACCAGCATCGCCGTCATCCTCCGAGCTCCCGCGGGCACGGGGGGCTCGGCGCGGGGCTCTGAGCTCCTGCCCGGTGGGAGCTGGGGGTGCTGAGCTGGGGAGTGTCGGTGGCTTCAGTGACCCTGCTCAGAGCAGCCACCGAGGGATGGAGAACCAGCTCTGGGGCTGTGCCTGGTGGGATGGGGGACGCTGCTCAGCCGCAATTCACAGTAGAAAGTCGGTGATTTTCTGTCTCTCTCGTTGCTGCAGCAAACTTGGTGTTGCACCAGACTGTGGAGCGCATCCACGTGGGCAAGAAGTACGGGGACATCCCTCGGGGCATCTTCGTCGTGAGGGGCGAGAATGTGGTGCTGCTGGGGGAAATTGTAAGTGCCCAGCTCCCACTGCAGTCTTGGCCTGAGCTGGGGGTGTTCGTGGTTTGTCTGTCTGCTCTTCTGCTGGGCTGGAATTGGAGCCGCCTCCAGGGCCGGTTCAGGCTGAACCATCACGGAAACGCCAGCCTGCAGGGCAGGGGTGCCTCCTGTTGCCACGGCCCCTCTGGGATGACATGAGGGACAAAGAACAATGCAGAGGGAGCTGTGGGGAAGCTCCAGCCTGTGTGGCAGGAGTGTCATTGCTGGCTGTCCCTTACCTCCTTGCTGGCTCTGCACCAGGGGACACCATCTGGCATGGCTCGGGAGGAGCTGAGCGCTGATTGCTTTGGGGTCCCCAGGAGCCCCTTCCCAGGGCTGTGCTGGGGATCCCTGCCCAGCTCCTCACCCCTCAGAGTGTTTCCAGTTTTCTGTCACCCCCACCCTTTGCTGGGACTCACAGAAGGTGTGTGGCTCACAGGCACCCCGCGCTCCAGGGATGCCGTGCAGAGCTGGAGGGGTCGTTTCTCCTGCAGGACCTGGAGAAGGAGAGCGACACACCTCTGCAGCAGGTGTCCATCGAGGAGATCCTGGAGGAGCAGCGGGTGGAGCAGCAGGCCAAGCAGGAGTCAGAGAAGCTGAAGGTGCAGGCGCTGAAGGAGCGGGGCCTCTCGGTGCCGCGGGCGGACACGCTGGATGAGTACTGAGCTGCTGCCCCTCGCCCGCAGGGAGCGACGGCTGCTCCGTCACCCGCCCGGGCAGGGACAGGTTTCCGTGGAAAGGCAGGTTTTCATTTTCAGATTGTATTTTCCATGGTGCTGGTAACTGTACACAAATCATGCCTTTAGTCTCCTTCAGGAGAAGGAGACGAGGAGGGCCCAGCGCACTGGGAGTGCAAGCATTTGTTTTTGGGAGGCAAATCATTGCTCCTTGGGTTTGTTTGCTTTCTCCTCCTCACGTGACTGGGTGAGAGTTTTCCTTGACATGTAAATAAATCCTTGATCCTGACATCGATGGTTTTCCAGTATTCTGGTCCTGACCATTCCCCTCTCTCAGGACGAGCAGCCCTCAGGCCAGCTCTTGTCCCCTCTTTGTGCTGTGCAGGGACAGATGGGACCCCTGGCCCAGCCCTGGGCTCACTCCGAGGGGATGCTGGAGCCTGTGGCAAGATCCTGCTCTGGGAGGGGCAGCAGAACCTGGGTACCCCTGTACCCCAACAAAGACTGCCTCTACCCCCCGGCCAGGCTGTGCCATTCCCCTGCAGCTGAGCCTGCTAATTACCAGCTGAAGCCACTAATTACCTGCTGCTGAAGAGCTGCTGCACCTGGGGCCCTGCAGAGCCTGGACCTCCAGCCCCTCTTCACTCGGTGCTCAGGGGGAGCCGCTACAGCTGGGTCAGGTTGGAGAGTCCTTTGTCCCCGGTGTGTCCCGGCCCTCCTGGAGGTGGAAGAGTCCTTGGCCTCGGGGCTGGCTTTGGGCAGCTGCCAGGCTCCAGGAGCCTCCTGGGTGTGGGCAGGGAAGGGCAAACCTTGGCAGGGACAATCCCTGTGGAACCTCAGGCTGCTCCCCTGAGGGCAGTAGGAGTTCTTTGGGTGAAGAGTCTGTGCTGGGGGACAGGGGACAAACCCAGCTTTGCTTGCTGGGGCTGAACAAAACTGTCCTGGAGAGCTGACAGCTGTTGTGGCCAGTGCTGACCCCCTCTCACTGGCCCAGGGACCACTCACTTTGGGGGGAAACATTTCTGCCCCGTTGGACTTGAGTGGGTGTTGTGGGTTTGGGAGTAGCAAAGGTTTAAACAAGGAAACACTATTTCTTGTTCTAACAAAATTTAATAAAAAGCATTTATGGAGCTGGCTCCTGTGGCTGGAAATCTCTGTCAAGAGGGGATGGCTCTTTGGGGGTGTTTTTGCTGTCCCTGGTTGTTTGGGGGGTGTTTTGGGGTGAAGGAGGATCAGGGCAGTGATGGCTGGGGAGAGGCAAGGGCCAGTCCCAGAGGTGGGGTCCCAGCCCTGCAGCCCAGGGTTTTGGGGGCTGTGAAGAGCTGGTGGGGGTCAAGACATGGAGCTCTTCTGGCTGCTTTTGAGCCCATTATCTTATCACAGTATCAGCTGTGACCTCTGTGGGCACCGGGGGCTGTGGGTTGTCTGCACTCTCCAAATCACCACAGGCAGCCGTGGGATGGGGGGACATCCCCAGCTGTGCTGCAGCAGGAGGGACAGGGCCACCCCCCAGAGCCCCCTGCTCCAGGCACTGCAATGGGAAAGGGGCTGGGAGGGGAATGCTCTCGAAGGTGGCTCGGCTGGGCAGGGTGGGGGACCCGTGGTGGCCCCAGGAACTTTGGGTCCTTCAGGTGCCCTGGTGAATCTCCAGTGCCTTTGGTTGGCATGGTTCTGGTTTTGTACATTTTGTGCATTTGTGAAGGTTTGTGTGTCAGGCCCTGCTAAGTGGATGCAAATGGGGCCGTGTGGTGACTTTGTGCAGGAGCCTGGGGGTGTCCCAGGGGGGGCTGGGGTGTCCCAGTCAGCCAGATCCCCCTGAAGGTTCTGGGTGCCTTCTGGGGTCGGTATCGTGCTCTGGGGGCTGGTCACCTGCAGCGTTTCCTCAGGTGCTGTGGCAGTGTGGCTGTGTCCCCTCCTGAGGGCACAGATGGGGTCCTGCCCCCCAGCCCGGAGCCAGAGGGGCAGCTCTGCAAGGGTTGTTTTGGCTCTCCTCACAAACAAGTGCGCGTCCTTGTGCCGAGGCCTTGTGCTGGGAGTGGCTGCTCCATCTGGGATAACAGTCCTGGATTGTTCCCTGGTGTCCCCCTGTCTCTCAGGGAGGGGGACTGAGGGCAGTGCACAGTTCTGGGGTGTCTCTGGTGTCCCCGAGCTCTCAGTGCTCTGCGTGTGCTTGGCCGGACGCTCCTGGCTGGGACTCGGGGATTTCAAACCCCCCTGGGTTTCCCTCCCCGCTGTGTGCAGGGAGGGGGGAGCAGGTGGGTGAAGAACAGAGATGGGGAGAGCTGTGCCATCACCTGGGAGTCACACCTGTGGGAGCATGGCTGCAAAGAGGGGTTTCCAGGAAACGTTTTGGGAAGGGATAGTGCAGCTTCGGGCTCCCTGCTGTCCATCCAGCACCTCGGTCTAACCCCACACGCTGACCTGAGGTGTTTTCTGGCCCACAGTGGAGAGTGGCAGCAGAGAGAACAGCCCGGGGAGCAGCAGGACCGTTCTGCATGGCAGGCGGGACTTGAATCATCTCAGGAAAGCTGGGGACAGGTGGGGGGAGACAAAGGGCTCCCTGGGCCAGGCTGCTGGCACAGTGAGGGGCTGACCTCCCCCTGGGCCAGCTTGTTGGAATGGGGGAGGAAGGTCAGGCTCCCTGCAGGAGGGTGCAGGGGCTGACGTCAAAGGAAGCAGCTGTAACTCACAGGTTCCTGGGGCTGCTGATCTCCAGGCCGTAATTCATCCCAGAAATGTCATTTCAGCCTTGAGCGTTATCGCTGCTCTGCCGTGTCCTGGGGCAGATAACGGGGCCTGGGAATAGGGGGCTGCCCCTCACTTCAGTCCCAGGCTCAGCAGCTCGGTGTATTTAATGTTCAGTGTTCTGTGGGCTCTTCTGGTTCTTGTACACGGTGTTTGCAGGGGCCCAGCCTGGCTCGTTATTCCGCGATGATTGTGCTGTGAGATGACGCCATCCGGTCGTTATCCCTTGTTACCCCTCATTATCCATTGTTACCCATCAAAGGGTGGACTCGATGACCTTGGAGGTCTTTTCCAGCCGTGATGATGGTGTGACTGTGAGGATGTTGCCTGTCACAGCGTGTGGTCCCTGCGAGGGCGCCCAGGTCCGTGTGCTGTGCGGTCTGTCCCTGGCACAGACAGGTCTGTCCCGGCAGGACAGGGGGCTCTGGGGGCTCTGCCTCCCCCAGCCCCGGGAGCTGCCGGTGCCCGGGGCTCTGCCGTGTCCAGCACACTCCCAGCCCCCGGAGCTGCCGGTGCCCGGGGCTCTGCCGTGTCCAGCACACTCCCAGCCCCGTGCCCGGCTGAGCCGCAGATGCGTGGGGAGCCGGGGCTGGCCTTGGCCCGCGGGGCCCAGCCCGGGCTGACGCTCTTATCTCCCGGCTGACGGGGCAGAATCCTTCAGCCCCCGCTACTTAAGGCCGTGCACGGCAGGGCTGGGCCAGAGCAGCGCCGGCACGGACGGACAGACACCGCTGAGGCCACCACAGCCACTGCCCAGCCCACAGCTCCCACCCCACAGGGAGATGCTGCCAGCCACATCCAAGCTCTGCGCTGCCATCTCCTACCGCCACCTGCGCAACATGACCGGTGAGCACGGCCGGGGCAGCTCCTGTCCGTCTGTCTGGGGTGGGATGGGGTCAGGACAGCTCCTGTCCGTCTGTCTGGGGTGGGATGGGGTCAGGACAGCTCCTGTCCGTCTGTCTGGGGTGGGATGGGGTCAGGACAGCTCCTGTCCGTCTGTCTGGGGCAGGATGAGGCCGGGGCTCAGGGATTCTCTCCCTGCTGTCACGGGCAGCACAGAGGGAGTTTCTGACAAAAGTTTATTAGAAAAGCTCCTGTTGAGTCCCAGGCTCCAGAAAGGACCCTCTTTCTCTCTGTACTCCTCAGGGTGGTGGCCAGGACCTCAGGGATGTTCTCCCCACTCTGTGGCATGTTGGGTTCTGGGATTTACTGTCCCTAAAACCCTTTTTGCTACCAGACCTGTCACTGGGGCCTGAGGGGCTGGCTCCTGTCCCTGTGAGCAGCTCTGGGTCACCCTCCCTCTGGCTGTGAGGGGTTTGTACCTCTGTGCTCCATTTCCATGCTCTTTCCTGGGCACCTGCAGGATGCTCCTCAGTATTTTTGCTGCTGAGTGGTTCGGAGCTGGAACCAAACCCAGGATTGCTTAGGCCAACCTGTGCCAGGGCAGTGCGATGGCATCCACCTGCCCCCTGTGCCTGTAGGGACACCGAGATGGTGACAAGCAGGGACTTGTCCATGTTTAAACTGGGGAAAAGCCCACGGCAAGGCCCGGGCAGGGTGGTGCCAGCGGGTGACACGCTCTCTCCCCCAGGTCTGAGGAGACAAGCTGCCGTGGCCATCAGCCAGGAGCTGAGCAGGCTGGCCAGCCGCAGCCCGGGACCCGGCACCTGGATCCACCAGGTGCGCAGGAGAAGCTCCTTGCTCAGTGAGTGACACCTCAGGGGTCTGTTCCTTCCTGCTGTGGGGAAACCGTCACAGGCTGGGACTCCAGAGAGCAGCTGGGGAAAAACCTGCTTGAGGGTGGGCTGTGCTTCTGCTGAACCAAAGGCAGAGCGGGAACTGGGTTTAATCCCCATCCCCTGGGCACAGAGAAGGGAATTTGGTGTAGATAAAGCTCATCTGGCACTCAATTCTGTCCTTGAACTCAGCCCTGCCTTTGTCTGCTGCTGGCAGGCTCGAGGCTGGAGGAGAAACCCTTCAGCGAGATGGAAATGTCTTACATCAAGCAAGGGGAGGAAGCGCTGCAGAAATCGCTCAGAATCCTTGAGGACCAGGACGACTGGAAGACGGAGACGGTGGCGGTGGGTGCTCTGCCCTGCGGTCCTGCCTTGCAGCCCTCCTCCTGTGAGCAGCTCTGGTGCTCACTCTGCCATCCCCTCCCCAGGGCAATGGAGATAAAGTGCTGAGCAAGGTGCTGCCGGACGTGGGGAAGGTGTTCCGGCTGGAGGTGGTGGTGGACCAGCCCCTGGACACAGTGTATGGAGAGCTGGTGGACAACATGGAGCAGATGGGAGACTGGAACCCCAACGTCAAAGAAGTCAGGGTAGGAAATGTGTGTCAGACCTGTCACACTCAGCCTGTGTTCTGTTTCCTGCTGCAGATGTAGAGGAGTTTTTGTGGTATCTGTGTCGCTGCTGCAGCAGAGGCGAGTCTGGAGCAGCTTCTGTGTGACTAATTCTGCAGGAAAGGCACTTTCCTGCAAGGAGCAGCCAGTTCTGCTGGAAATTGGGGCAGATCTGGGGAAGAAATAGCCCCAAGGCACAAGGAATGAGAGAAGCAGTAAGGGAATAGCTTTTCACCCAGGAATTGTAAACAGTTCTGCACCTGGGGGCGAGCAAGTATTTGGAATTATTGTCACTGTAAACACCAAGTCTTTGTCAGACCCTGTATGAACACCTGGTAACCAAAGGCAGCTTTTATCTGTGCTTGCAGTAAACACTTGAAATGAAAGTTTAATTCTAAACTGCAGATTCTGGAGAAGATTGGGAAGGACACGGTGATCACCCATGAGAAGGCAGCCGCGACCCCTGGGAACATTGTTGGGCCTCGGGACTTCGTGAGCGTCCGGTGCTCCAAGAGACGCGGCTCCACTTGTGTCCTGGCCGGGATGTCCACGACCTACGGGGCCATGCCCGAGCAGGAGGGGTTCATAAGGTACCACAGTCCAGTTCTGTGTGTGCAGGGAGGGAGATTCCTGCAGGGCAGAAGGGTTTTACTATGGGCCCACTGTCGCTGGGTTTCTATGGGCAGCAGGAGCTGCTGCTGGAACCCCAAAGTGCAGTTCTGAGGCTGAAAAGTTCAGGTTTGGGTCTGAGCTGGGCCTCTCCCCCACCAGGGCTGAGAATGGTCCCACCTGCATGGTCCTGCGGCCACTGCCCGGCAGCCCCTCCCAGACCAGGCTCACCTGGCTGCTGAGCATCGACCTCAAGGTACGGGGGGCCAGGGGGAGCTGGGGGGAGCCGGGGCTGGGGCTGGGGGGAGCTGGGGCTGGAGGAGCTGGGTGCTGGGGCTGGGGGGAGCTGGGGCCAGGGCTGGGGCCAGGGGCCGGGGGGAGCCGGGGGGCAGGTTCTGCTCACAGGCTGTGTCTGCTCCTCCCCAGGGCTGGCTGCCCAAGACCATCATCAACCAGGTCCTGTCCCAGACACAGGTGGACTTCGCCAAACACCTCCGGCAGCGCCTGGCCCGGCCGGTGCCTGTGACCTGCTGACCACCCTGTGCAGGGCTTCCTTCAGGGGCAAAGTATGGAACCCTGTCACTCCAATTCACCACGGCCTTGAGCAGCAGACTCCACTAATTAATGCACAGTTACAACCAGTAAATAGAAAGGTTTATTTATTGAAGCTCATTGTGTAAGTGCAGGATCACAAATTTAATTCCTGCAGTCCCTTAACTGAGCATGTGCTGGCCCAGTCAGCCAACTCCACCCTCCCTAATTACTTTCAGTGAATAAATAAAGCTATAATTAGTGCTGTCTACATTTAAACCTCTGGACTAATTAGTTATTAGGGAGACAGCTGGGAAGGTACATCCTCAGTGAGGCAAACACAGGCCTGACTGAACCTCAAATTTTACTCTCCCAAAACTCAAACACAGCACTTATTTTTGTTTTCTCTTCCCCTCAAAGCAGCTCTAATTTATTTTTTCCTGTACCAACACATAAGAAGTGTCAAATAATTTATTCACCCCAAACTCTGCAATGATGATCATTAGCAAGAGGCCCCATTAACACCTGTGCACTCGAAAGATCTCCACCTGTAGCTACTTTAAGTACAAATGTCACTTGTAACAATTTACAAGACAAGAATAAAAAGAAGAGTTAAAGCCTTTATTTTTAAAGTGGTTTCCAGTCCGTGGGGAAAAAAATACAGTTTGGACAGAAGCCCAAATTTCAGTCTAACATGCAGCCGTGTCGTTCCAACAGAGCCGTCCTGGCTGGGAGCTGTTGGTCACCATCAGCCAAACACACCTGAGCACAGGGGTCACTGTACCCACACCTGGCAGGTCCAGCTACACCCTGACCTGTTACACCCCCTTCTCCAGCCAGTGACAGTCTAATGGTACTGGGGGCTCCCAGAAAGGCCCCACACGAGCACCAAACACCCCAGAACTGCCTGGCAGGGGCAGTGGGGAGCTGTGAACACACACACACACAAACACCTGCCAGCCAGGGCTGCATCCACCTCGGCCTGTCGGGTCCTTGGCTGGTCACTGAGAGAGATGGATGCTCCTCTGCAGTAAATCCACAGTGGTGGGCGTTTATGGCTCCCAGGGTGGGCTCCTCCTGCCATCCACCTCTGTCTCCACGTGGTACAGGACATCGGCCAGCGTGTGCTCCACCACGGCCCCCCAGCCCATGTCACTCATCTGCAGAGGGAAGCAGAGTTAGCTCCACTCCTGGACAGTTCCAGGACATTCCAGGGCTGTTTCCCTCCTCAAAACAGTAGTGGCAGGGGGGGAATTCCAAGTGTTTCCTTGAACAACAACTCAGTTCCCCTACTGACAAATAAGGCCAATGCAGGCAACAATCTGTCAAGAGGAACAAGATAACAGCACCTATTACTTAATTAAAATTTAACGATTTATGCAGATATCTGTCCTCACATATTTTTAAACACGATCCTTTTGGCTACACTATCCAGGTACTGAGACTGAAGGACAGTTACAGGTGTGGTATGAATCATCCCAAAATATCTCTGATTTAAACAATGAGGCTCTCAGACAGGGGGAGAAGCTTCAGTTCTACTTACAGGATGGTAAGTGATGTCCCTCGGTGGATACTTGAAATATGGCCCAAAGTTTATAGAAACCTGTGGAATGTACATTTTCATTAAATCTAAAAATCTAGGAAAATTTCTCTAGTGCTCTGTCCTCACCCCTTCCTACTCCTGAGCCTCCCCACACCCTGTGCAAGCCCACAGGAACAAACACTGCTGATGTTACTTCAGCAATTTGATAATCTCATTACACATGTGAACAGCAAGATTGTTCCAGAGTGATTCCCATCTTTCCTTTTCACTTGGCACACTCCTGGAGTGCCCACACTTTGTGCATTACTGAAACTGATGGATTTAGGAATTCCCTTTCAGAGACCCCTCACTTACCGTGCAGCCTTTGTACAGAGAAATGGCAGGAAAATAAACCCCCTCAAAGATGTCCTTGAAGGCGACTCCTTGGCTGACACCATTCTTGAAGAATATGATCTGAAAAATGAAGGGTTTTCCCACTGATGGTGGTTGTGAGGACACAGCAACCCTGACAGAATTAGTCCCTGCTCCCTTTCACTCAGGCCAGGCACGTGCTGAAGTGACAGCAACAACTCACCTGGCTTCCAGGGGCTTGCTTTAGGCTCTTCTCTGCTTTGTCCACAAAATCCTTCTCTTCAAAGTACAAGTAGCTTTTGAATTTGATCAAAGCCTGAAACAACATCAGCAGCAAACATCAAGAACAAGCCTGAAGAACTGTTACCTGTCACCTGCCCTGCTCAGGGCCAGGCATGCCTGGTGTCAGAGTACCTGTGAGGAGTGACTCCCACAGCTCAGAGATTTGAGAGCCAGGAGGGGAAGGTGAAAGGAGATGTGGGCAATCCCATCCAGGAGAATTTTCCTTTCTTGAGATCAACACTTTGGGCCTCTCCCCCACGAACCACAGAGGTACTGAGAGGCAGGATGGGAAGGATGCACGGAAAGGGGCACGAGTGAGGCCACAGCCACTCATTTTCCTGTTTTCCACCTGCCAATGCTTAATCCAACAGTGAATGTGCACCTCACCTTGTCTTTGTAGGTGTCAGGCAGGGATTTGGCTGTCTCAGTATCCTCTGGAAGGCTGATGTAAAATCCCAGGACATCGCCCTGTCCATAGCCAGAGGAATAGTGTTTCCCTATGGACTGGTGAAACTTGGTTCCCTTTTTGCTGCGCCAGGAGTAACTGAACTTGTCGTACCCCAGAGGGGCTTGAAGGTTCCCTGTGGAAACAAATGTTTCATGGTGAACACAGGGAGTGTAGCAGGGGCAGCTACTGAGAAGTGTTTTGGAGAATGATTTACCCAAAGGCTGTGACCAGCCTAATCTGGCAGCTGTGTCTGGAGGCATCTCATCCATGGAGATTTCGAAGTACCAGGCTCCCTTCCGCACGCCGTGCGAGGCTCGCACCATGGAATAGCCCTTCTCACCAACAACAGTCAGTCTGTCATCAGAGATCTTCAGCTGGGGAGCTGCAGGGGAGCACACGATCACTCATTTGTGATTTTTAATGTGGTGGTGTCAAAAGGCAAGTGAACACACAGAGGTGGATTTAACCTCTGCACCTCTGAGAGCAGCTCTGCCTGGTAACGAGAGGTTACCGAGACGCCTCTGTGAGGAAACACGACCTGCACAGATTAACGGGCTCTGTACCTCGGTCATGCAGCGCCAGGAGGACTCGTTCATACAGGCAGGCTCTGTACAGATCCCCAGGAATTGGTTTTCCTGCCCAACAGTCCAGCTCCAGCTTTTCTGGGTCAGGTGCATGGGGGTCAGGCTCGGCCAGGATGTAGCGATACCCGTCCTTGTTGAAGGGGTGCTCCAGAGGGTACCCGTGAGGGGGCAGGCGCTGAGCCGAGAACAACGGGTCACTGAAACACAGAAACCCCACGCTGGCATCTCCAGCTGCTGTCACATGCCAGCCCAGGACACCCCCCTGCAGAGCTGTCCCTGTGCTCAGGGGACACACACTCGTGTCTGTGTGAAACGAGCACAATCATCCACTGCAAATCATTTATAGCTTGTGACTCATCAATCATCTGTGATGTCATCAGTGACATCACAGGGCTTTGGAGTGATCCCCAGACACCCCCCCAGGGCAGAGATAGCTGGAAGGCAGCTCAGAGCATCTGAGTGCTGCTGTCCCTGACTGGTACCCATCCCCACAGCCATCCCCGCAGCCATCCCCGCACCCACCCCTGTCCCCATCCCCACGCCCATCCCTGTGCCCGTCCTTCTGCCCATCCCCGTGCCCACCCCCGTGCCTGCCCCCGCACCCACCCCTGTCCCCACCCCCGTGCCCACCCCTGTCCCCATCCCTGCACCCATCCCCGTGCCCAGCCCTGCACCCATCCCTGCCCCCACCCCT